TCCTGAGTAGCTGGGATTACAGGCACGTGCCACCATGCCCAGCTAATTTTTTGTATTTTTAGTAGAGACGGGATTTCACTATGTTGACCAGTATGGTCTCGATCTCTTGACCTCGTGATCCACCCGCCTCGGCCTCCCAAAGTGCTGGGATTACAGGCTTGAGCCACCGCGCCCGGCGACATTGTGTTATTTTTTAACAGTTGCATACCCAGAAGTAAGTAGGAGTAAAATGACATGATGTCTGAGATCTGCAGGGCTGCTTAAAATACTTCAGCGACAGCAAGAAAAAAAGAAGACAGATGAGGCAAGTGCTACAAAATCTTTTTTTTTAACAGGGTCTCGCTATGTTACCAGGGCCTATTCATAGGCATGATCATAGTGCACTGCGGCCTTGAACTCCTGGGCTCAAGCAATCCACTGGCCTCAGTCTCCCAAGCAGCTGGGACTACAAGCGCATGCCACCGCACCTGGCAAAATATTTTTTGTATTAATTTATTTTTCATTACAGAGACAGGATCTCACTATATTGCCCACGCTGGTCTTGAACTCCTGGGCTCAAGCAATCCTCTTGCCTCAACCTCTCCTAATGTGCTGGGATTAAAGTTGTGAGCCACATGCCTGGCCTAGTAAAATCTTAATAATTATTAACTTTGTATATGTGTGGAATGATTATTCTACTCATATATGTTTGAAGTTTTTCACAACAAAAATAGGTTTTAACTTCCCATTACCCATTTAAAAACCATATTATTTCTAGATGATGTAAGTGTCACTATTTTAAAACTACTTGTATTACACATACAGTATTTTTGCTTTTTGCCATTTTGATTTCTGGAAAAGATTTCCCCCTGGCCAGGTTATTTAAAATAGACTTCCAATTTATTATCAACAGTTTTACCAGGATTCGGTGGATCTAGTCCTATATATCGACACACATACTTAATAAATAAGATGCCAGCTTCCATTAAAAATAAATCAGCACAGGCCGGGCGCGGTGGCTCAAGCCTGTAATCCCAGCACTTTGGGAGGCCCAGGCGGGTGGATCACGAGGTCAAGAGATCGAGACCATACTGGTCAACATAGTGAAACCCCGTCTCTACCAAAAATACAAAAAAATTAGCTGGGCATGGTGGCGTGTGCCTGTAATCCCAGCTACTCAGGAGGCTGAGGCAGGAGAATTGCCCGAACCCAGGAGGCGGAGGTTGCAGTGAGCCGAGATCGCGCCATTGCACTCCAGCCTGGGTAACAAGAGTGAAACTCCGTCTCAAAAAAAATAAAAATAAAATAAAATAAAATAAAATAAATCAGCACAAAAATAATTTAGACAAGAAGAAACCCAAGACAATATTTAACCTCCAATTATTTGCCATACCAGGATTTGTTAATGGCAACTCCTGCTTCCAACTTTTTGACATGACACCACCATGATTTTATTTTCAAAGAGAAGAGAAAGGCTCCATTTATTACTAAAAAGTTATAAAATAGAAAAGCAAAACTCCAGTCTCCCCTTGAATACCTGAACCTCCCCTCAATCTATCAGCAGAACAGGGGCCTAACAGCCAAGACCAAGCTCAACAGTTGTTATGTCTCTGATGATTTTCAGAGTATATTCTTGATGAGTAGAAGCACTAGAAAGGCCAGGGCAGTCAAAACAACTAGTATCAAATGACATTAGATGCAGAAAATCAAACCCACTAAGTGTTTTGCTCACGCCTTTTGTTCCCACACTGTTTACCGATAATCTGATCATATAACAAGGAAGGTGAGTGTCATAAATTCCTCTTTATACACAACTAAATTTAAATGTAAAACATATGGAAATTTACAATCCTCAAGTTTAAAGAAAAATGCGACAAGTGGCAAGTAAATATGAAGCCATCAGGAATTCAGAAGAGTCAGTCACTTTTGGCATACATCAGAGGGTTAACAGAGTTCAGCATGATTTCCTACTCTTTGTAAGATATTTAATACTGTATGATGATAGCACATACTCATAAACGAACAGCTTCTGGTATCACAAGGACTTAAATGAGTAATTATGTTCAGAAATTCTGTCTGCTAAGGACTGTGTTGTAATTCTTCAAAACATCATGATCCACGAATGGCATGGAGAATAATCCTTAGTTAACTAAAATAATCCACGAGTCAGCATACGGATTACTTCTTAATCGCTCTGCATTTCTAGCATGTGAAAGATAAAAACCACAGTTTACTGTTGGATCAAATACTTCAAACAGGCCAGGTACGGCGGCTCACACCTGTAATTTCAGCACTTTGGGAGACCAAGGAGTTCAAAACCAGCCTGACCAACATGGCATAACCCTGTCTCTACTCAAAATACAAAAATCAGTTGGGTGTGGTGGCAGATGTCTGTAATCCCAGCTACTCAGGAGACTGAGGCATGAGAATCACTTGAACCCAGGAGGTGAAGGTTGCAGTGAGTGGAGGTTGCACCACTGCACTTCAGCCTGGGTGACAGAGTAAGACTCAGTCTCAGACAAACGAAACAAAACAAATACTTCAAACATATAGAAAATAGAAAAACAGCAAAACTCCATGAATTTACTATCCAGATTTAATAACTATCAATATTTATTAGCATAGAACATTAACATACAACATTATTTGAGATTTTTAAAGAAGCATTACAAACATAAACTACAGGCGTTTCTAGTTCCTTGATTCAGCCTTCTCACAAGTCTCTATCTTCCCTTTCCATTTTATTCAAAACATTCCCAAATTTCCCAAATCCCAGTTCTCACCCCTTTGTCTCATAAACCTATCCTTCTCTATGATTTCAAGACAAATTTCTTAAAAGAATCTATACTCTTCCTCTCCTGTTTATTCTCTAACCTACTAAAACCTAGTTTCTGCTCCACCGGACTCCTATTCAATTCCAAGCCCTCAGAAACCTAAAGCTACTTTTCAGACTCCGTATTACCCGACCTGTTGATAACTTTTTTTTTTTGAGACAGGGTCTCTCTGTCACCCAGGCTGGAGGCCACCTGTTGGTAATTTCTGACTGAGGCTCACAGAGCTGGCTGTCACCTAGCCTGAAGCTCCTCAGAATTGCAAATTATCATATTTACATAATGGGGATCTATTGCTTTGACTGCAGCCCCAGAATTCTGGGGCAAAAGGCATCTGTAGAAGTTAGTGAGCCAGGACCTAACTAGAGGGGAGTGGAGGCAGAAAGAACAACTTTCAGGCTGGGCGCAAGCAGCTCACACCTGTAATCCCAGCACTTTGGGAGGCTGAGGTGCAAGGACGGCTTGAGCACAGGAGTTTGAGACCTGCCTGGGCAACAGAGTGAGACCCTGTCTTTACCAAAAAAACAAGTGCTTTCAATTACAACTTCAGCAAAGACGGGCAGAACAGAAACCACAGCTCTAAAAATTCTAGAAAATCCCAAAATCCTGAAAAAAAAAGTATATATTTTCTATTCTACTCAGACAAAAAGACTAAAGGAGCTATACCAAAATGTTAACAATGATTAAATCTATGGATCGTTTTTGTATTCTTCCTTTTAATATTTATCATCTACAATGAACATGCATTTTTTAAAGAGTGTGTGTGTGTGTGTGTGTGTGTGTGTGTAGGTATGTATGTATGTATGTGTTTAAGTAAAAGGCCTGCAGGCCTGTCTTCCAGCGTAACAAAAGGTATTGCTAGGGAGATGCAGCTCTACAGAACACTTGCAGAAAACCTCCAGGGAATGAGTGGGTGCTGGCAGCTTTCAAGAGGAAAGCAAAGCAGGCTGGATGCATGGGTAAGGACAGCTCTCACACCAGTCTGGCCTAATACAACCCAGGGAGTGCCTGGTGTTTCCCCTAAGCCATCCAGTCAGCCTCCAGGTCCTTTTCATTCTCCCTTTAAGGGACCACAAAGGTCTCGTCACTGCTCTGTATCCCACACTACCGTGATGTCACCAGGCACCCTGATGGTGTCTTTACTCCCAACTCACTGACTTCCAATCCCATGTCCACATGGCTACTAGTGCTGAAACATGGTGGGCACCTGAAAATATTTCAGGACTATTTAGAATACGTTTCTAAACCCTGAAGTGTACGCAGTCCTCTGCTCACCTTTACCAGCTGCACTGACCAGCCCAGACACTTGGCTCCAGTTAAACTCAGTATCTGTACTTCCCTGAACATCCCATGCTCTGGCTTTGTGCCTCTGTGCACATTCTTCCCTCTGCCTGGAATATGCTTCCTCACCTTATCAACCTGGCAGACTCCTACTCGTCCTTTGTGTCTAGACCTGTAAAGCACAACTAGTCAGCTGGCTGCTCCCTCTTCTGTAGGCCTTATTCATTTTGTGCATAGTATTTTACAGCGCTTCTTACCCTACTCTGGAATTACTGCTAAAATATTTTTCTACCCCACTAAACCATGAGATATTTAAGGCCAGAAACCACATATCCCCATGCATCTGGAATAATTAGACACAGCAGACATTCAGTAAATAGTTGATGAATTAACAAATATGGGTTGGTATTCGTTTTTACTACATATTTTTTATAGATATCTCAGAAATAAATTTTGGGATCTGGAAACAGGTACTAACTGATACTGGTGCTCTCTGAATGAAACCAATTCAAAGTTTGAGACCTAACTGAAAAGAAAGTACTGATCAAGCCAAATATATACTGGGCAAATGGTAAGATTTCTGTCATCTTAACAGCTAAGGACATCAGAACTGTATCGATTTGGAATTAGCAACCCTCTCAAATCATACTTTGAGGATTACACATTCAGGAAGGTTTTTTGTTTTTCCTTCCATGGTGGTGGTGGCAATGGACTTGGGGCACTGCCAAACATCTGTTAAAATGCAAGGCTGATTAGAAGACGTATCTTTTCTTCACAGTCAAATCAGGAAGAATGGCTGATAACCAGGGAACGTGGACAATTTAAGATCAACGGCAAGAAAACAGAAGCTGCACCTACTTCTCATTTCCATATATTTTAACTTTCAACAGTTTCCTGCCTATTGCCTACCTGAGCTAAAGCAGGGATTGAATTTTGGCCAGTCTGAGTCTGCATATGAGCAGACTTGCTCTCTGTCAAAGAGGCTGTTACATTTCCATCATGCTGGGATTCAACTGTTTCCATGGTCATTTGTCTGAAAAGACAATAAAAGGGAAGACAAATTAAGCCCTATCTTAAGTATTTCGAAATACAAGTTGAACATCCCTAATCCAAAAATCCAAAATCTGAAATGCTCCAAATTCTGAAACTTTCTGAGCATTTACATGATGCCACAAATGGAAAATTCTACATGCGATCTCATGTTATGGGTCAAAACTTTGTATCCTGCACAAAATCTTTAAAAATATTGTATAAAATTACCTTCATACTACGGATATAAGGTGCATGTGAAACATAAATGAATCTCATTTATAGACCTGGGTCTCATCCCCAAGGTACCTCATATGTACATGCAAATATTCCAAAACCCTGAAAAATCCAAATTCCGAAACACTTCTGGTCCCAAGCATTTCAGGTAAGGGATACTCAACCTGTACTGTTTTTACCCAGCTTTCTAATAACCGCTTCTGACATCCAATTGCACTGTTTTCTTCTTCAAGAAACAGGTTCAACAGTAGTGTCCTAACTCTCTAAACTTATCTTTTCTGCTCACTGTATAGGAACATTACCAAAGGAACACTGCAAAATGTCTTGCAAGAACTAGCTTATTTTAAAACTTAAAAAAACTTAAAATAATAAAGTCTTCCTGATAATTACCTTAAGCTTGCTATTTAACATGAATGACTGGTAAAATCAGGTTTTCTATTTTACACGAAAAGTATAAATATTCTATGATTCTTAAGGCCTAATAAACCTGCTTTATATTATGAAGTAGTGTGAAAGAACTTGCCCAGTCTAAATTAAATGTATAATAATATAAAAATGTGTCTTTCTTTGTTAGCCCTAAGTCGTTTCTGATGTTTATCAGAAAGCCCCAATTATTGAAAGAAGAGGACCTAATTTTTCCAGGAAAAACTTCTGATGTGATTTGAAGTTTGTGTACTAATTCAATTTAAGTTCATGATTTCTATATGGACTCTTTCTAGAAGGCAAACTATAATAAATTTTATCCTGTTAAAGAGAAAATATAAAATATAAACAAAATTAACAAAATTAAAATTTAAAAACTTACTTATAGGAACCACTCCATTACACATCTTCTCAGCTGTCAATAATACAATGTGTTTTTTCACCTTAGTCTAAGTATATATCCAAAAACGATACAGTCCACTTAGATCTTTGAATTAAAACATCCAAATTGTTCTAACAGATTTAATTAGTTACCAGATCCTACAGAGCCTTCATCTACCGTCTTTGACTTCATGCTGCCTTTTGCATTCGAGTAGCCATTACCTGAATCCAATCCTTCCATGCTCAAACCGTCTGCTATTGTCTCTACCACAGGTATTTTAATACTTATAACTGACCAGGATGATTTAGAGCAATTATATCAAAATACTAACGTAGAGTCTACCATAGAAAAATGTCTTTCCCTTAATATTGCCTATTAATCTTTTATGTCTTTTCTTATAACTTCCCAGAGTGGCCTCTCCAATTCTAGGTAAGTGTGGGTCATCATCACACATAAAGTGTTAATTCCTACTGTTTTACTTTTGGTTGTGAGAGCAGTTTCCAAAGAAAATACCTCAGGACATTAGTTCTGCAGGTTCTAAAAAGGCCCTATCTGGGGGAAAAGGATAGGGAAAATGCTTAGTCAAAACGTTTTAAATATCCAAGATTAAAAGGGTTTCTTTCCTGAAGAACATCTCAGAAGCTTCAATCTGCTAGTGTCTTGAGAAAGGTGAAGGTGCAGATCCAACAGACAGCTTCTGAAAGTATCTGACCACCAAACAAACCCTTTCCCACAAAGCATCCCCCAGCAGGAATATTTTGGAAACCACCTGGGAAATGTTGTCTTGCTATTTTTTATACCTTTGAAAGATAAAAGCTTTCCTAAGGTTCTGCAACAACTTGAGTCTCAACGCAAAATTTACATGCCAAAAGGCCTTCCGGGTAAACTCTATTTCATTCTGGAAACATTCATTTAGCACCATCTACATGGTAAGCTCTAAAAATACAAAGTGGATTAGTCATGGCCCTTGCCCTGAAGGAATCCATTAACTGAATGGTCGTGGGTTTCTCAAACTATGGTCCTTGGACAACCCACATCAGAATTAAGGAAAACTATTTGTTGTAAAAAATGCAGAAGCTTAGGGTCAACCCCGAACATACTGAATCAAACTTTCTTGAGGATTTGACTTCTTATATCCAAACAATTCCAATGTGCACTAAAATTTGAGAAACACAGCTTATTGGAAAGTCAGTAATGAACACAAGCAAAGCAAATTCTTTTTTTTTTTTTTTGAGGCAGAGTCTTGCTTTGTCACCCAGGCTGGAGTGCAGCAGCATGATCTTGGCTCACAGCAACCTCTGCCTCCCAGGTTTCAGAGGTTCTCTGGCCTCAGCCTCCCAACTAGCTGGGATCACAGGTGTGCGCCACCATGCCTGGCTAATTTTTGGATTTTTAACAAAAACGTGGTTTCACCATGTTGGCCAAGCTGGTCTTGAACTCCTGACCTCGGGTGATCTGCCCATCTTGGCCTCTCAAAGTGCTGGGATTACTAGGCGTGACCACCTCGACTGGCCGTAATTCCTTAAATCATGTGACATATGTGATGCATGAAATGCTCTGGAAAACATATGAGAATGATTAGGTCTGCCAGAGGATATGGTCACATGAGTTGTATATTGAAGGCTGAGAAGGATTTCACCAGGTAGAAAGGACAGTTCGACTATGAGAGGAAAGAAAGTATAGAGGATGTCTGGGAAACGGAATGATTGGAGTAGAAAATTTCGGTGAGGGATAGGGGGAGCCTAATTAGATTTAGTGAGGAGGAGACAGAGTAGGACCAGTACAAATAGCCTGGAAGGGTTGCATGGAATTATATTAGGATAATAGCCTTTTTTTTTTTTTTTGAGACGGAATCTTCTCTGTCACCCGGGCCGGAGTGCAGTGCGATCTAGAGTCACTGCAACCTCCGCCTCCCGGGTTCAAGTGATTCTCCTGCCTCAGCCTCTAAAGTAGCTGGGATTACAGGCACACACCAACACACCGAGCTAATTTTTTATATTTTTAGTGGATACGGGGTTTTACCATGTTGGCCAGGCTGGTCTCCAACTCCTGGCCTCACGTGAACGGCCCACTTCAGTCTCCCAAAGTGCTAGGATTACAGGGATGAGCCACCATGTCTAGTCTCTGAGTTACAACTCAGAGGCATGGTTAAAAATATCAGTTATAAATAACAACTATCAGGCCGGGCGCGGTGGCTCAAGCCTGTAATCCCAGCACTTTGGGAAGCCGAGGTGGGTGGATCACGAGGTCGAGAGATCGAGACCATCCTGGTCAACATGGTGAAACCCCGTCTCTACTAAAAATACAAAAAATTAGCTGGGCATGGTGGTGCATGCCTGTAATCCCAGCTACTCAGGAGGCTGAAGCAGGAGAATTGCTTGAACCCAGGAGGCGGAGGTTGCGGTGAGCCGAGATCGCGCCATTGCACTCCAGCCTGGGTAACAAGAGCTAAACTCAATCTCAAAAAAATAAATAACAACTATCCTGAGTCATCAAAAAAAGGCTAATTATGTTCAGTATACTTTAAGGACAGAGGGACACACCCTATAGAATCCAAGAAGTCTTCCATCAAAAAAAAAAAGTTTTAATGATTAAGAAGATAAACTGGGGCTGGGCACAATGTCTCACACCTGTAATCCCAGCACTCTGGGAGGCCAAAGTGGGTAGATCACAAAGTCAGGAGATGGAGACCATCCTGGCTAACATGGTGAAACGCTGTCTCTACTAGAAATACAAAAAATTAGCTAGGCATTGTGGTGTGCACCTGTAGTTTCAGCTACTCAGGAGGCTGAGGTAGAAGAATCACTTGAACCCAGAAGGCGGAGGTTGCAGTGAGCCAAGATTGCGCCACTGCACTCCAGCCTGGGCGACAGAGTGAGATTCCAACTCAAAAAAAAAAAAAAACTATTTAGGACTCTATTTTTGAGATATGATAAAAGACTTTATAAGCCATCAAACAGATTTCAAATGTTTTATACAAGAAAGTGTCTTGATATGTATCATCTCATGCAATCATCTTAATTGGCCCTTTTCTCTGGGGGCATTTCCCAGAGAGTTGAGTCCTTTGCCCTTTTCCTTTTGTCAATACCACAGAATTTTTCAATACTATGAATACTATGGTTTCTTCAATCCTATATGCAGATGGCTCCCAAATCTGTATTTATGCACACCTCCCTCCTACTGAGCATCTCAACCTGGGGTTTTCATGGGCACCTGTCCCTTCTTTCCCTTTCATTCTTCTTTTAGTCAAGAGTATCATCCAGTCAGGCTCCAAAGCTAGATTCGTGTGTCTATATTAATCAGTCAGAACCAGATCAACCACAAAAAACAACCCTACAAAGCTAAACATCAGTGAGGATGCCATGAGGCCTTGAACCTTAGAGAGAAAGGCAGAGCTGGAAGGCCAGCAGCCACCCCGACTCCTCCTCCTTGCCAGACTTTAACACTGGGCACTGTCCACTGTAACCTCCTATGGCCTCACTGGACCAAGCAGTTGAACTGCTGTTCCACACAGTTGCTACCATCCACTCTGAAGACCATAAATCATAGACAATGAGCCTCTTCCTAAGCCACAACTGCACTGCAATGCCCCTACACCCATGCCAGAATCACACTTAAATCACTGTCCAAGATATAAGCTCCTTCCGTATTTCATCTTCACTCTCTTAACTAGTGCTTCCTTTACCTCCATAATACAACCCTTCACTCCTGTGCTCCTTCCAAACAGCAGCAATGTGCCATGTGGAACTCCCAAAGCCTCACCACTGTCCTCTCAAGAAGGTACTGCTCCATCTTCCCACATCCAATCCAGGTCAGGATACTGACTGGCCATCTGCTTCGTACCCCACTGCCTTCCCAACTGTTCCTTCTTTACTCCCTCATAAAAAACCTTGTTCCACTGAGGCTTAAGGTCATCAGTTGTACCAACCTAAACCCATCCATAAGATAATCAGCATCTACTC